AACTGATTGTGCAACTAGTCTTCTAACTGTTCCATCAATTCTCTCTTTATTAAATACAACAAGAAGTGGTAAAAATAAAATAAGAGTTCTAATATAAACATCACTATCAAACAGTAATGGTGCAGGTGTATTATTAATTCTTTCATAATACTCTTTTTGTGTTTTAAATAATTTTCCTCTTCTTCTTTGAAAACGTGTCCTTTGAAGAGCTTGTCTTGGATCTACTAACTTTGTATGAGTAGAACGTGGAAGTTCTAGGCATGTTAATGTTGTCATTTTATAGAGCGATCTTATTGTTTGTTTGTTATCTTCTAATGGACAATTGACAAGACAAAGTGATTTAAGCTCTGGTAAGGGAGGGATAAATAAAATAGGGTTTGATGATGCATTAAGAAATTTAAGTGTAGTAAGATGAATCAATGGAGATAATGAATTTATTTGGTTGTTAGAAACGTCTAATAGAGTTAGTGGAAGTGATATAAGTTCATCCAAATGGTTGAGTTCAGTATTGTTGAATTTCAATGACACTAAATTCTTAAAGCTTTGAATTTGGGGAATAAATCCACCATTATCAACTGTTCGATTATTTAATTATTTTCTTATTTCATCAAATAATTCTTGACAAACTAAAAGACGAATCATCTGAGCATATTGACGTTGTATTTGGATTATCTTCATAATATTCATATGAGTAATATCGTGGATGAATCATCTCTTTTTGTTTTAAATAACATTTTTAGTTTTATATTTTATTTTATTTTTGAATTGAAAATAAATATCATTTATAGTCTAGATTTCAATTCTATGTCTTGAAAATTCAACAAAAACATTTAACCACATAATAAAGAGAATTATGAACTGTTATTTACATAATTTTATTTAAGAAAAATGTTGTAATTTTAATAAACACCCTTTTTTATTTTGATATTATTTTATTATCTTGGAGTGTTTAGAGTATGAAAAAAAAAAATGTATCATCTTCTTTGTTGAATAAATATAAGAAATTTGATAAAGATACCATTAGTCAAATTAAAATATTATTAAAAAAATACTAAAATGCAATACTTAATTGTTTTTAATTAGTTTCTTTGTTGTCTTCTGACAAGTTGTCTATGATACTAATTCATATAGTATTTGTTTATAATTCACACTATAGTGTATAGAATAGTTATAGGATAGATATAAATAACAATACCACAATGGGAGTAGATTTATCAATAAAGAAAATAATATTATGATTATTTCATTAATACGTTAGTCTCGTTTTTATAAAAAGTCACCACTAAACAATTATTTATTTGTTTATTACAAAATAAGGAAGTTAAAAATACAAAGATATTATCATTAAATATTTACTAAAATATATTTTTTTATTGAATGATAAAACAACTCTACAGAATAAGATTATTTATACTAACTTTTACTGAGTTGATAAACAAATTATCACTAAAGAATTGTTTTTGAGCTCTAATGAACTTACTAAAGATCTTTAATGAAAAGATGGTATAATATTTTATTGAACTAAGAAAATATTATTCTATTAATTATCTTAGAAGATATTTCTATTAAGAACAACTAGTCATTATTGCTTCAGTTAAAGTTATAGGAAGAATAAAGGTGTCATTAAATTTAAGTATAAACAGAAAGGTGAATTGAATAAATTACCAAAGAGACATGATATTCTAAAAAATGTGTTTAATGTAATAATAATAAAAATTCAAGTAATTCAAATGTAAAATGAATAGTTTCAAATTCAATCTTAGAGTAAAAAAAAGATTATATTCAAAGTTTTTAAAGAATAAAATATTGTTATGACAAATATAAAATACTACAATAATGAAATATCTATTTATTTATGATATTCTTCATTTTTGAATATATAAGAAAAGATATATAAAAAGAAACAAAAAGATATGAAAAGTTAATTAAATTTAAAAGCGAACAACGATACAACTAATATTATCTCCACTATCATTGAAATGAGCAGCATCTCTTAGGAAACAAGCTATGTCAGCAATTCTTGGTGTTTTTAAACGTTCTCGTGTCATACGAGCAACCGTTTGATTATCAAAAACATCCCATAATCCATCACATGCAACAACAATTGCTTGATCTTCATTTGACCTATTAAAAGTTAAAACTTCTGGTTCACAAGTTAAAGCAGGATGACATTTAAGATCACCTAATGCACGTGCAAGACCAACTTCACCATTTAATCTACCACTTTTATCAACATAACCATAATTTTGTCTAATCCTTCGAAATTCATTTGGATTAGTTGGTTTATGATCAACAGACATTGGATTTTCAGTATTTCTTTGAACTAATAATGCTCTTGAATCACCACAATTAGCACAATGCATTTTTTGAGGTGTAATTAATATAACAATTCCAGCAGATCCATCTGTGAATTTTTGTTTTTCAACATATTCATTAATTGTTGAATATGTTTCAATAAATGCTGTTTTAATCCAAGTGTCAATATAGTTTTCTGGATCAAGTTTCTTTTTAGATAAACTTTTTTTAATTTGACTTTGAAGTTGGTTTGCAAAAATAGTTGGAAATAAAGCGGATGAGAGTTTTGATACAGTATCTCCTCCATGTCCATCAAATAATCCAAGCATATGATATCCTTTCATTAAATAATTTTTTATAACAAATGAAGTGTCTTGCATAGAAGGTCTTCTTCCTTTCATTTCAGAAATTCCAAAGTCAATAGGAAATTCATCTTCATTTTTAATACCATTAGCCATTTTTAAAGTAAATGGTGGATTAAGATCAACTGGAATAGAAAATGGTTTAGCTACTTTTTTATCATTATAAACAGTACATGCAATAAAAGTAGTTTCAGATGTTGGTTCTTCTTTACTTGTTTTTAATACAGGACGTTGTATTTGGAAAAATTCACATTTCTTTTCTAAATGAGGAATTTTACAATGAGTTTCAAGTTCATTACCAATAATATTAAATGCCATTAAATTTGGCATTGACTCTATTTCTGATGGAATTTGTTTAATAAAATTAAATGAAACATCAATTTCTTTTAAACTAGGAATATTAGTTAATGGTTTAATATCTAAAATACTATGGCGTCAGGGGGCTAGTTGTTCTAATTGAGTTAATTGAGAGATTTCATTTGGAATAGTTGTGATATAATTATTGGATACAAATAGTGTCTTTAATGTAATTAAATCAAATATACTTTGTGGAAAATGAAGAAGATTATTTGACTGTAAATATAATGCTCTCAATTTTTTTAAGACAGAAAGACTTTCTAATGAACTAAGATGATTACATCCAATATATAAAGTTTCTAAATTACTTAATGAAGAAAGAACATTAGAGGGAATATCATATAAATGACAATCAGAAAGATTAAGAATTTTTAATGATTGGCATTTAGTAATACATACAGGAAATTCAACTAATGGATTACAACTAATATCTAATTGTTGTAAAGTAGGATGACATGTATTTTCATTAAATCGAGTAATTCTATTTTGAGAAATATCAAGACGAGAAATTTTAGAAAGCATTGAAAGATTTGGTGATACTTTTAATCTATTATTTGAAAGAATCATATATTGGAGAACTCCATTTTCTGGAAGTTCAATTGATTCTATTTGATTATTAGAAAATCTACATGAACAATTTGGTGGGAGTGATTTGACTTCATTTAAATATCCACGAATAACATTTAATGATGTTAATTTACTATTTTGTGAAAGGTCTGGAAGAAACATACATTTTGTATCACTCAACACAATTTGACATAAATTTGACATCATATCTACTGAATTTAAACATGAAATAAATGATTTATTAATAATTAATGTTTTTAACTTTGTTAATTGTGAAAGAGAATCAGGTATATCAACAAAGTTATTATTATCTAATTCTAATTGTGTTAATGAAGGAATAGTACAAACTGACTCAGGAAATTTACCAAAATTATTAGATGATAAATATAATCCACTCAATTTTTCCAATTTACTTATAGAATCAGGTACTTCTTTAATTCGGTTTTGTTGAAGCATTAAAATTGTTACTTTTCTTAATTCACAAATTACGTCAGGAAATTCTTCAAATTCATTACTTGTTAATTCAATATAATTCATATCAACACATTTAGCTAATCCTTTTGGTAATGATTTTAAAAAATTGGCAGTAAATGAAATTCTTTGTAGTTTAACTAAATTACCAATACAATCAGGTATTGATGTTAATTGATTTTGAATCATTTGGATTTCTTCTAAATTCGTTAATGATGTTATTTGTGTTGGAAATTCAGTAAAACAATTTGCATTTAAATCAAGATGTCTAAGATTAGTTAATGTAGTAAAACTAAGTGGCAAAGATGATACTTTATTTGCCATCATTCTGAAATGAGTTAATACTTTAAAAGGTCCCATTTCTTTAGGGAGATTCTATCTGTTGTTAGTTTATTCAGATTATTTGAGTCTTTTGCAAAATATAAACAAACTATAATCTCATTATTTGAAAGGTCAATAGAAGTGATTATTGATGCTTGTGAGATACAATCCTTTGGAAATTGTTTAATACCCATATTCTTTTTATTGTAATGTTGTTTATCACTACTCATATTTCAAATTCGTAATATTAAGATGAAGGATTTTATTTTTTAGTTTTCAATAAAGTTCTTTTCTTTTTATTTCAGTTAAGTAAAATTTTTTTCAATTGATAATAAGTTTGTAATCCTTTATGACTTTTTCTTTTTCCTAATATTTGAATTTTATAGATTTTTGTTGTTACCAACTCTATTTTAACGTTTGAAATAATTATTATTTAATAAAAATACTTTTTAGTACTAACATGGTTGTGTTATTTATTACTTCATCTTAATATTTTATGATGTTTGTATTAAATAAAAATGAGGCTGAGTATTATATAACTTATAACAAAAATGAGTTTATAGAAATATCCATCTTCACATATTGCACATCTCTCACCATTTTGTGTAATAACTTTACAACCTTTTCTTCCTTGTTTAACACAGACACTATTATTTAAAATATATCCTGAAGAACATTTTTGACATGTTGTTGGATTATTACATTGTTCACAATTTTCAATACAAGGATCACACATCAAAATATCTGTAAGATAATATCCACTATCACAACGTTGACATCCAACTGTTGTTTCTTTTTCACAATGATGAATTAATGAATTAGTTAATCTTTTCAACCTTAACTTTGTGTTTGCTAATTTTATACAATTAGTTTGATTATATAAAACATAACCATTCATACATTCATGACAATTTGTTGACGATAAACATTCTTTACAATTCTCTGGACATGACTCACAAAGACTAGTTTCAGAATTTAATACTTTTGTTGAAACACATTTTGAACAACTTCCATATTCATTTGTAATTAAACAATCCAGATTTTCAGCACACTTACCGTTTTGAAGAATGGTTGATGTGTCACATTGAAGACACTCATCTTGTGAACATCTCAAGCAATGTGCTGAACATTCTTTACATTCTCCATCAACTACCTTTGTATTATTAATACATGATCTACAACTATCAAATCCTACAACATTACACTTCTCATTTGTCGGAGAAACACATTGTGAATTTAATAAGTACAAATTTAATGAAGAGTCACATGATAGACACTTGAAATGACCATTAGTATATCTACATGTTTTACAATTATTACCACACTTAATACACTTGTTATTAATATAATCAACTGCATAACCATCTCGACACTTAATGCATGATGATGTTTTATATACTTCACACAAATCACCTGGTTTGACAGTACATTGTTTAGTGTATGAATCATAAACATATCCATCCTCACAAACAATACATGTCTTTAAATTACAATCACACACTTTACAATTTTTAATTGAACATAATAAACAAATTCCATTCGATTCTTCTTCAATTTTAGTTGTGGAACATGCAGTACATCCAATACTTGAGTTATAACAATTAGTATCACAATTATCACTCTCAAATTTATAACATTTTCCTTTTCTCAACATATATCCTTCTTGACATTTTTCACATTGTTCAGCTTTATAACACAATGAACATCCAGTCTCACATTTTACACATGTTCTATCTTCTTTTAGTCCATATCCATTTTTACATACAAGACAGTTTGGTGATGAATTAGAACATACTAGACAATTAGGTTTATATTTAGAACATTCATAACAATAGTTTTGATAAAGGAAATTATTATATTTACATTTTCCTTCTTTTATTGGTGAAACACACCCAGCATTAGTATCAGAACATGGGGTACAAGTACCTTCATAAAGATTATATCCAAGTTTACAGTATGAACAAGTCATATCATTATTACATTTATAACAATTTGGGTCATTTCCACATGTTAAACACTTCTTTCCTAATGGAACATATTCATCAATACATTGATCACATTTATACTCTGTTGTTGAACACGTTACACAATTAGTAATATCACAAGTGGAACAAATACCATCTTTATTTAGAAGTCCCTTTTGACAAGTATGACATTTCCATTCAGTTTGAGAACATAAATCACAATTATTTAATTTTTTCTTACAGTCATAACAAAATCCCTTATATGGTGATGTTCCAATTGGACATTGTCCATTTGTTGGCTTGACACATTCACTAATTCCTTCTTGACATGGAGTACAAATACCATTAACAGGAACATATCCTACGTCACAATTAACACATTTATAAGATACTTGACTACACTCTAGACAATGTTCAAAATAGCTTGAGCAATTCTTACAACTTAATGAATCTGATGCCAACACTAATGGAGCTGAACATGATGCACATTTTGCCTTGTCATTATTACATGTTGAACAACCAATCATTGCCTTGTCACATGTAACACACTGACCATTTACTAATGTATATCCATCCTCACAATATAAACATACTTTGTCAGTTTGACTACAAGAAGAACAATGTGGGAATGAAACATTACATAACTCACAATCTTTATTAATTGTAGAAAAGACATATTCCTTGTTCACAAGAATTACAATAACGGTCTGTAGTTTTACAAGATGCACAATGACTAAATACATTAGAACATAAATCACAATTATTACCAGTTGAAATGGTATATCCAGAATTACAAACAAAACACGTTTGTGTATTACACTCTTCACAATTACTACATTTAGTACAAGTATGTTGGCTATCAAATGCATATCCTTTTGAGCATCTTTTACATTCATTACTACAATACTCACATTCTGGTAGTTCAGTGCAAGACACACATTCCCCATTCTTTAATAAGTATCCTTCTTTGCATCGTTTGCATGAAGTATGATCATCTTGACACCATGCACATCCTAAAACATCACATTTATCACATTTATTACGATTTAAATAATATCCATCTTTACAACTTTGACATCTATTTTCTTTATAAGTACAAGTTAAACATGCATCTCCTCCATTACACTTTTCACAACCACCATATGGATCAGTATATCCATATTGACAGATAGTTTGCCATCCTTTATTATTACACATATCAACTCCTTCTCCTCTTTCAGTAGGACATCCTATACATGATCCTTGTGAAAGTCTGTATCTTGTTGTGCACTCATAACAAACACTTCCAGTAATATCACAAGAAGTACATCCTTTGAGTTTGTTTGAACAAAGAACGCATTTCCCATTCTCCAAATAATATCCATCTTTACATCCAGTACATTCATTAAAAGTGTTGCATGTCGTACATTCATTAGGACATGCTAATCATTAATACTGTGTTATTCTTCATATCATTTACAAATAAAAGACTCAACAAACCAGAGCATAATCCATTAGACAAATATGTTCCAACTTGGCATGAAGAACAACGAATTGTTGTACATAGACTACACCAACTAGAACCTCCATAAACAACAACACCATAATTTCTTTCACAAGTAATGCAAGAATCAGGACCAGAACATAAACTACAACCAATAGGACATTCTACTGATTAATTCTTATCTTTGAAAATTTAATGATTCAAATTTTAATTTTATAAAAGCAGCAACAAACGATAGCACATTCCATTATCTAAATAATATCCTTTAGAACATGATGAACATTGTGTCGGTGATGAACATTCCAAACATCCAGTTGGACACTTTTCACATAGACTTACTTTAGATGAATATTTTCGTAACCAATATCCTAAATTACATTTTGTACAATGATATTCTTCATCACATGCTTCACACCCTCTTTTACATTCTATTACAGTCATTAACCCTCACAAACCAATTAATTTTAATTAATGAAGAAAAAACAAACTAAAACAATATGAACAGAAGGCATTATCCCGCCATGAACCATAGCTACACTTTTGAGTAAAATCACTACGTAAAACAAAGTTAAAAAAACAACAATATATTTGATAATAAAAAAATCTGTTAACAATAATGTTCCTTGTTGGTAACAAAATTTGAGAGGATATTACAGGATGACATTAATATATTTGAGAGATAATAGTGTATGAATTGTAGAAATGATCAACTAAATAAAAACTGAAGAAAAGCATAAAAATATTATAAATAAAAATTAATACCACAAAAAAGTGTTTAAGCCTTTTCAACAAGAGAAGAATTGTTAGGAATAGTTGATTTAATCAGACAAGAATTGTTTTGAGTGTCTTCTTTCTTTTGAGTCATAATTGGTGTTGATTGAGTTAGTTGTTGTTGGTCTTCTTGAATTGGTTCCAAAATATCAATCAATTCTTCTTCTACTGGTGGTTTCTTTGCATCTTCTGGAATAGAATTCATTAACTTTTTTACAAGACTTGTTGTAAATAATCCATTTTCAACAGCAGTTTTAACAGAGTTTAATAAACGGTCAGCTATTTCTTGTTTTTGGACAGCATATTTATTGAAACCTATTTCAATAAGTAATTCTTTTGACTCTTCTTTAAATGCAGTGTCATCTATGAATTTATTATTATACATTGAGAATAATGTATTACATTTTTGTGGTATATCTTTTGTATAATTAATTAAGTCATTAATGTCTTTAATCTGTGCATTAAAAATTTGTTCTGCTTTAGAATCTGCAGTTACTTTAACATCATACACTTTCTTAAAATTTTCAAAAATTGTTCCATAACTTCCACGAAGGAGATTTAAAGCGTCTTTATAAGCTTCAACCGTTACTGTCTTTAAAACTTCTTTTTTCTCTTTTTCAGTATTTTGCATTTCATTAATAATATTAGGATTTTTTGAAAGTAATTTTTTATTTTTCTTTGTTGTATCAATTTTCTTATTAATTTTTTTCCATTCGTCATTTGCTTTAGATATATTCTTTTTGGCTTCATCCTGTGCTCGGTCAAGTTCCTTGGGTAAATTTGTTGAATCATTTACTAAATTTTCGCAAATAATTTTAAATTGGTCTGTTATTTCTATTAAATTATTCTTCCACATTGAAAACATATTTGCAATATTTAACATTCCAACATTTAAGTCATTATGCCCACAATCTCCCATAGTTTCCATTGCTTCTACAAGTCCTTCTGCTGCTTTAACCATTTGTTGTTCAGCTTTATCAAATAATATACATCTCTCAACAACTATCTTATACTTAGGAATGAGGTTTCTTATTGCTTGGTATGTGTTTCGAGTATCATTTTCTAATTCATCAATACTCTTTATAAGTAATTCGTTTTCCATAACTTCTGTTTTTTTCTAGTTCTTTCTTACTCAATTTCGTTTCATTCTTTTTTTAAGATTTTATTTAATTGGTTTAAATTTCTTTTCACTAATCACTCAATCAAAAACTTCTCACTTTCAGATTTTATTATACTCCTAATATGATCCACAAATGTACAATCTTAATGTTAATCTAAGAAACAATAATTTATTCTTTTTATATGCAACACACTCAAAATCAACCACCACAACAAAATTTATTATTTTTTCCAAGTTACATTGATGAAAATAAGAAAGACCAATCACTGAGAAACTCTTTACTTTCTTCAAACGAGTACAATACAAAATATTATTTCTGTCCTATTTCTAAAATTTATCGTACTCCTCCTATTCCCTCTAAACGAATAACTCATTACCAAAAACTATTTGTTGAAGGAATTCCTCCACCAACTGATGAATTAGAGAAGAGATTTGTTAACATGAAACTGATAGGAACAGGGAGCTACTGGAATGTCTATAAATGTTATGACAACAAAACTCATCAAATTAAAGTTGTTAAAGTCTCCATTCGAACAAACCATTTAATTAACTACAAAAAAGAATGTAGTTCAATGAAAATACTTCAAAACAAAACTATGTATCTAGCATTAAATGAAGAAATGTATTATGATTCAATAAATTTTTATGCTATTATGCCCAAATTTGAAACAACAGTTTGGGACCTTTTAATAAGTAAAGAAATGAATAATAGTGAGATTATTTTTACAATGTGGTGTGTTCTTATGGGATTAAAAATTATGAATATTTATGACTTAGTTCATCTTGACGTTAAATTAGAAAATCTATTAATTGATAAGAATGGGATGGTAAAGTTAGGTGATTTTGGTACATCAACTAAAGTCGGAGATGTTGTTCATTCAGATGAATGTGGTGAAGGAAGGTATTTAGCTCCGGAAGTACTTCAAGGGCATGCATTGTTTGAAAGTGATGTTTATAGTTTAGGTATTTGTTTATTTGAAATGGTTAGTCGAAAAATATTCAATCCATTGGTTTGGGTCATTAACTTCTTTTATAATAATCTATAAAAAATAGTATTAACAAATAGAGTTTCAAGTCTGGGTTTGGTGATAAGAGTTTACTTAAATTCTTTAAGAATGAGGCACTTCGAGATATGTTTCTTAATTTTACTAGTTCTGTTCCAACTAAAAGAGGAACTCCTAGTCTATTGGTCAATTACTCAATATTTGAAACTAATGACATTATGTCAATTCAACTATAAAAAGGAACCAACTCCAGTAATACAGGATATTCATATTATGTTTCATATATAACTAAAAATCTTTTTAAGGTTATAAAATCTCTTTTTGACTACCAAACTTATTAAAAAGAAAAAGAATAACTGAGAAGAAAAGTCAGAGATAGAAAGACCAAAACTTTAAAGTCACAACAATGGAAGTACCTGAACTCCCTCCAAAACCAATTCAGTTAATTATACTTGAACAATCAAAGAATAACTTAAAAGAGAGTGAAGAGGTTTTTAAAAAAACCAGAATAGGTATTGATAAAACAGAAGGTAGTATTGATAAATGTTATAACTTTGAAAAAAGAAAAATGGTTTGTAAAGAAATCTATGAGACAGAAATATCCTATGTCACTTCACTTGGGGTTTGTGAAACTTGCTATTATCGTGAAATGGTAAAAGAAACATCTCCATTTCGTGAAGAAGATGTTAAACAAATTTTTTTGTATTATGATGAGATACTTCGTTGTAATAGAGAATTTGCATCAATGGTAATAAAAAGTTGGAAAAATAACACATTTGAAGACTCTGTTGGGGAACTTTTTCTTAAATTTTCACCATTCTTTATTGTTTACAGAAACTTTTTAATTAATCATAATAAAGCGTTTACTTTGTTGACAAAGTTGGAAGAAGATACCAAATTAGAAAGGTATTTGGAAAGTTGTCAAACTCAATTCAATACTAATCAAAACCTTGATCTTCGTGATTATCTTATTATGCCAGTTCAAAGACTACCAAGGTATAGTCTCCTTTTAACAGACTTGTTAAAACATACTCCAACAAATCATTGTGATTACCAGAATATCACTAAAGCATTAGAAGCAATGAAAGAAGTTACTACAAAAGTTAATGAGTCAATTTCGACTAACCAACAACAACAAAAACTCATTGACCTAAGATCAAAACTTGCTCAAAGAAATGATTTTGAAGTTATAGAACCTCATAGAATCTTATTAAGTGAAGAAACTGTTATTCAATTCACTCACAATGGAAGAAGTAGACGAGGACTAATACTATTTAATGATTGTATCTTACTTACAAAAAAAGAAGAAAAATTAATGAAAATTAGATTTATTATTGAATTAAGTAAATGTAGTATTGTTGAACCAAATAAGGAGAAATCCTTACAGGTTTATAGTAACGTCAAGTCATGTGAAATTGAATTTGAAAGTTATGAGCAAAAAGAACGTTGGAAAAGTATTAGTAAAGATGCTATTACTCGAATAAAAAAAACAACTGACTTTGTTTTTTCTCCATTAGTTATTTCTCCTGAAGATGTAAATGAGTGTAAAATATGTCAATCTGAAATAAAAAAAAAGAAAAAATATTATTGCAAGAAATGTCTGAATTATATCTGTTATAAGTGTTGGAATTCTACTGGGAAATGTTGTCTTAAGTGCTATTTTTTAGAAAAAGAAAAGGCAAACCAAAAGAAACTAGAGCCTTTCAAAACAGAAAAGGAATGTAATTCTTTTAATTTGCATATTAATTCCAACCAGTCTCTAACTCCAATCCAACCAACCTCTCTAACAACTACTAAAGGATTACCACAACTTATGGAAGAGTTAAAGAAGAGGAATACAATAATGAGTATATTAAAAGAGCAACAACCTAAAGAAAATAGTGTTCTGATAGAAGATGGTAGTAAGGGAATTAAGAAAGAACAAAGCCATCAAAAAAGTATTACATCTACTGAAAGAATATTTAAAACAGAAAAATATATAAAACCTATGATGGGACTGAGTGATTTAGGAAAAGATATTACCACTTTAAATGAGAATGGGCATTGTAGTAGTCTTGATAATACTAAGAAAGAAAAAGTTAAACTTATTGAAGAAAAACAAGATGATAGATTGATAAGTATGAATAGTGAAATAGAGGTTGTATTGTGCCAAAGAAAAAAAAGTAATACAATGACTCAAGAAGAGACAAAAGTACATGAAAGATTTTGTGAAAAGAAAAGAAGAAGCTTTTTTTCAAAAAGTCTACAAACCGTTAAACAAAAACAAGATAACCCCCAAACGAAGTCTAAGAAGAAAGACATAGTACCACACAACATTGAAGAGGATAGACTGTCGATTGAAACAATTCCAGAAGGACCTGGCAAAGTTCAATTTTTAAAGAAATTAAATGAAAAACGAATTTCACAAGAAAAAGAAGAAATTGAGAAATATAGAATAAAAACCAAACTTGTTAATGATAAAAAATAATCAATGGTGTTATTATCTTATTTGTTTTGGTTAACTTTAATGAAGAAAAGACTACCATAGAGAAGTATTTGAAATTATATCTCCAAGTTAATTTATTAAACTTAACTAGTAATGAAAAGAATTTGGACAGTATTATTTTATTGTTATTTCTTTATATATATAGATCATTCCTCCATTCTTTTAAATTAACTTCTTCTGTTTTCATCATCACCATTTTCTTCTCTTTAGTGACTTAAAATTAAAAATGATACTACTTTATTAAAATATTGTTTCATCAGTTTACACTTGTTTTTTCATTCAGTTATTAGGAAATATCAAACCATTTAATACTTATTTGGTATATTCCAAAATTTTTTGTCATTTAGATAGATTCTTATTCCATTGGTTCTTTCTTGGTAATGCCTTTAAATTATTGAAGTCTAAAAATGGTGTAATTTCTTCATTATTTATTGTTGATAACAAACAAAATTATAACCATAAACTGAGTTTAGTATAATGGAACTGCTGTAAGTTAAATTGAAAATTTATTTCTTGCTCATACTACGACAACGTTTTCTTGATAATTCTGCTTGACATAATGTTTTCTTATTTTCCAGTTCATTTATTTGGTCTAAAATATCTTGTTTAGTTTGTTCTAATATTTCATTTATTGTTTTAATTTCATTTAATTCTTGCATAAGATTATTAACAATACATTCGGCTTGTTTAGCGTATGGACTAGCAGATGATACTGTTGCTTTATGAAGATGATCCTCTGCAATTAATTCACATTCAGAAACATTAACAGTAACAGCCATTCCTTTATATTTAGACTCAACCCATTCAATTAATTTCTTTGTTTTCTCAGTTGGTTCTTTCTTTTCAACTTCTTTTCTTGGTGTTGAAGGAATTCTTGGACTTTTTCCTTGAATTTTATTTGTTAGTTCAAGTTCTTTTTGTTGAATGACTTGTTCTAATTTAACTCCAAATAAATTGTTTAATAAGACTTGAACATTAAATAATGTTAACTCAACAGACATTATTCTTTCAGTTTTTGGTTGGGTTTTATCATACTTCCAAATAAATGAAACACTTGGGTCTTCTTCAGTTGATATCCACTCTGAATTTAATTTAGGTGATATTCCATTAAACGGTGATAAAATAGTTTCTAATTGTTCAGTAATAACACTTTCAAGGAATATTCCAATACTTCTAAACTGTTTATCTAATCCAAAACAAAGTTGTAATCCTTTTACCTTCATTTTTGAATAATATCCTTCTTCTCCTCCTTTTTCTTTACTTTGAACAATAGAAGTAACAGGAACACAAACAACACCATCATCTAATACAATTTCTAATCCTATAGCAGGAATTTCAGTTGATCTAAAAGCAGGAATGAAAGATTGATCAACAAAATTTATTGCAGATGTAGTAATATCATCAGCACTTTCTTTAACTGTACTTGTGATTTTATTACCAAATGTACTAATTTCTCCACCCATTTTGCTTTGAACATATTCTTTAATTTGTTGAACGTATTCATAGATATTCCTAAATGATTTATGATGTAAGTCAAAATGAATTTGTTTAAAATATAATTGACTCATAATCAATGCAGGAACACTATCACTTTCATCAAATTTAACTTGCATTTTAAAGTCTGCTCTTGTAGGTGGAAAAAGATATGAAGTTTTTTCTTTATCATTTAGATGAATAGCAAATGTTCCCATAACAATACCTAAATTGATTTCTTTTGGTGTTTTAATTACTTTGATGTCTAATTGATGTTTAAGTTTTTTTGAAATGTCTTTATCAACAGTTAATTCATTCCATGAAGGTTGATTTGTTATTTTTACATTATCTAATTCCATTATAAATGTTCCTTCATTATTAGGAAATGGTCCTTCAAACCTACAACCATTTAATTTAAAGTCTATGTCTATTCTTTTTAATAAATCAAGTGCACATCCAAGTCCAAGAATATCAAGTGCTTGATTCCATTTATTTTTAGCATCTTCAAGAGTTTGCTCAATTCGTTCTTTCATACTAAGCATACTTACATCCAATTCAGATAATTTATCAATAACTGTTACTTTTAAAAATTCAATCAAATTCTTTAACATCTCAAATTCCATTGTAATTCCTACAAAATTTAATTCTCCTTTCATTTTTGTATTAATTAATACATTTCTTTCCCATGTTGTTGTAAGTTCATTTGATAAAACAACATCATCTTCTCTTTCAGGTAATGCCCAAACTAACCTTTTCATATTTCCATGACTATTATACATTCCTTCAATAGTTCCTATAGAAAACCCATATAATCCTTTTTTAATTCTTCCTCCAAATGCAGGAACAAAAGTCATTGAAATATCACCAATAATCCAATAAATTCCTTCATCTGTATCTTCATTTTGTAATGATAATTTTAAAAATTCTAATATAAACTTAAACATTGTTCTTGGTTCTCCTTTTTTCTCTATCTTTTGTAATTTTTTTTCTTGCTTTTTTTCCATCTTTTCCAATTTTTTCATTGCTTTAATGTCTCCTCCATCAACACATTCAACAGATAACATAGATGATCCTTTCTTAAATGAATAAGATGATGTTACTGGTGACATAGACAATGATGAACCTAATGATGAACTTGGAATTTTACTCTTTGGTTTAGGAGGTGCTATTGGCATAGGTTTTGTTGTTGTTTTTTGAATAGACAATGTTGATGGTGTAGAAGATGTTAATTCATTATCAATTCTATTTACATTTAGTGGTGGAGTAGATGAACGAGAAGTACAAGTAGAATTATTTGTTGAAGGATTCAATGAATTGTTATGAGTTAATGTTTCATCAACATCAGCGTTAACAACATCTAAAATAGCACTTTCAGTTGCAATAGAAAAGAATGTTCTAAAGTAATTAATCAAATTAATATAATCATCCATAGAGAGGTTTAAGGATATTTTAGTTAATTCAATAATACAAGAAGTATCTAATAATTTATAAGATTCAGCTTCTCTTTGAGTAGTATATTTTCCAATAACTTCCATTCCATGACATAATGTAACAACTCTATTTCCTGTTGTAAGAGTAAGACTTAAACTATTAACTTGTAAGAATCTATAAGAATAAATAATATTATCTATAGGAATTTCATTTTCTATTTTATTTATTTTATTAAATTGTTGATCAGCAAAATATGTTTCACCACCTTGGATAACAAGATTTAATATAGATGGTCCAATTTTTAATGATAACTTAAAATTCGAAATTTCAACTAAAATAGTGTCTAATAACTCCCTTGATTTCTTCTTCTTAGGTTTTTTTGGTTTTTCTTTTTTATTCTTTACTTGCTCTTTTCGAATTAGTTCTGGAGTTAAGACTATATCATGTGCATCCACAATAACTTCTCCAAGTCTTAAAATAATAGGTTTTGAATATAAATGTGTCCATGGCACAATAACATCAATAGAACTACATGTCGCAGTAGTAACTTCAATTTGAGATGGTAGTAATACCATTTCTCTAAATACATCTTTAATAAATCCAATATCATGAAGAGTAACTATTCCTTGTGATGGTGTAATATCAACATCATTCCCAGTTCCCCAATCACTACAACTCTCAATAAATGTTTTGAGGAATTTTTTAAGAATTTTTGATGCAACTAAATCCATTATTCTTTAGATATTTTTTAAGTTCTTTCATCTTTTTTTTTTGATTTGTTTTGTTCAATTTCATTTAGTTTACTTTTTGCTTAAAAAAAATAAGAAGAAACTTTAATTTTATAAGAAAAGAATAATTTTAGTTCAACTGAAAAACGGTATTAATTAAACGTAATAGCAACTTATAGAAATACCTGTTGTATATATTGGAAATTAGGTAATTGTCCGTGTTTTAATAAAAATTGTGTGAATGAACTAATTGTGTCAGTAATTTTTTCTAATTTATTAAATGAAATATTGTAAAAATCACATATTTTTTTAATATTAGGAAGTATATATTCATAAGATTCATTGTCTCGAAAATTGAAAGCACCTTGTTGATTAATACAATATAATAAAAGAGAAGTACCAAGAATTGGAACTGAAGTATTAAGGAATTCTGATGAGAGTAATGTAGCATAAACATAAGGAAAAATTATTGTTGAGTTAAATGATGGTGGTAAAATAATATCAAATAAATTTAATAATTGAGTAAAAAAAGAATAAATGGTAACATATGTTGTTTTGAAATAAAGAGTATCTAATACTGTTAATTCAAAGTCATATACTTCTTGTTCTGACCACATTAATCTAGAATTACACATATATAAAATTTGACTATTAAATCTATCCATTTTAGATGCAATATCATAAGCAACATATCCAAGTAATTGTAATGATTCTCTGCTTAGTCAATATTACTGATATTATTTAAAATAAATAAAATACCAAACACTGCAAAATTTGGTGTTACAGCTAAAAAATGATCAAAAATTGCTACAGCTTGGTCAATGATAAAATTTGTTTCATGACTATTTTCTTCCATGAGCATTTGAATGACTTTAGCTCTCATAGAACCATTTACTGTCCTTCCTTTTTCTGCATAAAAATTGGACATAAATTCTCTTTCAGAATTTGTAACAAGATAAAGAAATTTTTCTTTATCAATACTAAAATCACAACCATCGTTACTAAATATCTCTTTGTCTTCATTTAACCCATTGCCTTGACAATATTGACTTAACCCACAATCAACTAAATTCGTTAAATCACTCTTAAAACTTGACATTTCACTTGAAATATATTCTTGGCAACGTCTACAAATTTTATAAGGATTTATTTCATTAGGAAGAGTGACAACATAATGAGAATTTTCATCAACTTTAACAGAGACATTTCTATCTATTCCTTCAGGAACAGATTCAATACTACCTCTAAGTTTTTCTATTAGTTGATTAGGTTGTTGTAAAGGTTGTTCATTTTCATTCATAAAGGGTTTAGTTGATATATTCATAAGTGTTAATAAATGATTATTTTTAAGTTTATTGAAATCTTTTATTTTGAAATGAAGGGTATTTGCAATATTTGATTGGTTGTTATTAAAAGTCATGAATTTTTAATTTAACTCTTTTTATTTATTGAAAATAAAATGTCATTAGATTCGAAGATGGCACGTCAGAGACACCACATGAAACCCTAAAATAATCCCATGCTTCGAATCTCCCAGTTATCGTCTGGTCATGACGTGCCTTTGGTGAGATAATATCTATTCAACACTAACTGTTTATTATTATTAATATTTATTAGAAGTGATTATTATAAAAGATTATTATTCATTAACGTGTATTGTTATTCATTAACGTGTATTGTTATTCATTGAGGTGCATTGTTATTCATTATTAATTATAAGGATTATTATTTACTAAGGAGGTATTATGTATTAAGAATTATCATTTATTAAAGAAGACGCATATATAATTGATATTGTTGCACAAAAATTAAACATAAGGATATTATCAAGGAATAGGGTTTCTTTAAGGGGTGTCGAAGGTAAAAGGAGATGAGCTATAACAGTATGTTATGGATATACTCTCCTTAAAACAACAATATAAAGAATGAGAAATATTATATTACTCATTAAAATCAAAATAAATATCAGGCAGCAACTTAAATGAGGAACCATTTAAGTCGAGCATGCTTGCAAAAACTTTATTTCAATAGAAATAAAGCGTGTTGAAGAAACTGATTCGCTCACTTCTCAACATGATGAAAAACCTAAAAAATAAGGTTAATCATAATTGATTTCTTTTTTTTTTTTTTATTGAAAATAAAATGTCATTAGATAAAATGAACTAAAAAAAAATAGAAAAAAGAACTATACAGTTAGAGTAATTCATCAAACTTATTATGGAACAACACGAATGGTGGCAAAGTGAAGAATGGGAAGATGAGAAAGACAAACAGTGTATTAATAGAATACACCAAAGTATTACAAGTAGAAAAGGATTGTCATTTAATTTTATTGAAAGTTTGTAAATCAAAGTCATAAATAATATCAAAATATCAAGTAAAGTATTGATTATACAGCATTATATTATACTCATGGTATTCATTCAACAGTACAAAAATATATTCATTGTATTCCAACTCAAGAAATATATTATTGGAGTATTATTCTTATTAAATTATTAATGTTTATTTTAAAGAATAAAAGAAAAGACTATCGGAAAGAAATTCGATTGTTTTGGGTATCTGGACAACCAATTCCACAATTTATAATTGATGTATGTAATGTTAATAGAATAGATACTTTCGAAATATGTAGACATGAATTACTTATTAAAGTTATTGAACTTCATAAAGAAATAAAAGAACAAATTCAACCATTCTTTATTGTCGATGAAAATATTGGAATGAACAATGAAATAGAAAATATTATGAATACCTATCCATCTTTATATCTTTCACACATTTATTGTATTGATGATACTAATAATTACATTACTGTTAAATGTGAAAAATTAATTAAAGAATTAGATCAAATAGAAATGTATAATAACCCTATTAGAATGATTATTATTGATTTTATTCTAAGTATTGATGGAAGTGGTAATATTCCAATTGAAATAGATTATTCAAAACAAAATGATGTTATTGAATGGAAAGATAATATCTTTGAAAAAAGTGTTGATCATATTGAGAATGCTCTTATTTACTATACTGGTAATCCTATTGAAATTAGTTGTATATATAATGGTACTACTTATCCAATTAAAATAACTAATCCATTAATTGTAAAAGATATTATTGAACCAATTAATCCACACTTTGTTGGTGAATATATGTTATCAGTATTGTTTGTTATTAACTTATTATAAAATAAAAAAAAATATTCATTATTCATAGAGGAGGAAGTACTATACTTATTAGAATTAATTCTGGAGAATTAAAAAGAAAAGAATTCATTTATGAAAAAGAAATGAAAGCTGGAGGGGTTCAAACAATTATAATGAAATGTTTTGATTGTTTTGATAATATTACTTCAATTGGACTTCTTCAAATGAAATTAATTCATCATTCAAAAGAAATTTTTATTGAAGTAGAACAAAGTAAAATAGGATATATTAGTTGTACACCAGTATTATATGACAGTGGTGAATATCAAATATCTATACTTAATGACGCAAATGAACAAATAGAACAAATTACATTTATTGTTCTTCCTCTTGAAATAGATGATTCATTAACTCAAGTTATTGACAGTTCTAATACCGAAGTTCAAAACATTTGTCTTATAGAAGAAGGTGTAAATACTTCATTCCAACTTCATTTCTTTGATCAATTTCATAATCCTATGGATGCTCCTAAAGACTTAGTTTGTTTGAGTAGTATTAATGATATTCAATGTCATAATAATGAAATACAAATAAAAAATCCTTCATTAGGTGAATATACTTTAGATGTTCAATATACCTCACCATCACATAGTGTATGTGGATTTCCAAAAAAACTTATTGTTATTGAAAAACAAAATAACCTTTCTTTTGAATGGCAAATACCAAAACAAGTCATTCTTGGTCAATTACTTATTATTAAATGTATAACATTATTAAAACGAATTGACTTGATTAGTGCAACAATTACAATTAATGATCATCCAATGAAGTCAATGATAATTCAAACATCAGAAGGGTTTGATATTCATAGTTGGTGTATTCAATTTGGAAATGGAAATATAAAATTACATTATGGAACTATAGAAAAAGAAGATTCATTTCAAGTAATTAAAGGAGAAGAAGGAGATGAGATAAATTTTTATTTGATAGAATGAAATATAAAGAACTTAAATTATTCATTAAAAAGCAAAATTTTTTAATGTTTATAAAAATTTCCATATTTTTTTTTTGTAATACAAAGAAAAATAAACTAAAAAATGATTTCAAATGTCATCCCAAGTAAAAGGTGACAGTTTAAAAATTATTAGAAATGTATTTTCTAAAGTTAGTGCTATTAAAAGTGATACAATCACTGCTTCTATTAGAGGAGAAAATGATTCTATTCAAGAATTTAGAATTGATATTATATTAAATCATATTTTATTTACAGGAACATTAGGAGTATTATCTTCAAGTTTAAGTACACCTAATTCTTGTAATAGTCCACTTATTGGAATGAGACCACATAAAAGTGATATAGTACTATTAGAAAAAGCTCAAATATTTGCAGTTCCATTAATTTCATCAATGAACTATAACGTTGTTGAAAGTACTATTGCTATAAGTGGAATATATGGTATTCCTATTATTACTATGGATAACACAAATACTCCTCATCTTAAAGTTGCAGAAAAATTAGTTATTACAAGAGCATCAAATGAATTTATTCAAAAAACTACAATTATTTTAGATAATATTAATAAATTTGAACAACCAATTCTTTCTATTCCATATATTCCTTTATTCGGTCAACCTTTAAAAAATGTTATGTTATGTCATAGACCTTTAGACAACCTTCAAGTCCCTTATTTTGTTTTTACTGCTTCAAGATATCTTGAAAACTGTGCTACAAATGAAGTTGGAATATTTAGACTATCTGGAGATGCAAAAGAAATGAAAATAATTAGAAAAAGTATTGAAGAAGGTATTGAAGTTGATTGGACTCAATACAATATTCATAGTATTACTAATATCATTAAACAGTTCTTTAGAGAAATGCCTGATGGATTAGTTAATTCCTTTGATATGAATATACTTATAAAAAGTATTGAAAATGACTCTAATGAAACAGATGCATTAGTTCATTTAAAAGAAGCTTTAAATCAAATATATAAACCTTCTCATGATATATTAGATGTTTGTTTTTTATACTTTTTTATTTTTAATTCTATGTATTCTCATTATATGGTAGATCCTTAGCCATCTCGTTAATAGAATTCTTTTTTGTCAAGAAATTACTCTAATGAACGAAAAAAATTTATTAATTTGTTTGTCTCCTTCTTTGAGAATTCAAGCAAAAGTTTTATCATTGATATTATTTCATCATGATAATTTGTTTGATAAATTTACTACAAAATATTCACTTAGATAATTCTTTATATTCTTCATTCCCTTAATAGAATTGTTTATTATTTCATTCAATCTTGTTTTTCTATTTTGTTTTATGTTATATAATTTCAAAAAATCTTCTTTTTTGAAATTCATCAAAAACTCAAATCTTAATTGTGATATTTTTCTCTTTTTTTTTGATAATATTCTTCTGATTGGTGGATCTTTAATATTATTTTTTTTCTAAATAATATTAGTACTATCAATTTTACTATATTAATTATTTATTATAATAGAATGAAAGCAAAACCATAAAAATCAACTTCAAACAACAAAGAGACTTAAAAAGAAATTTAAAAATCTTGTTATTATTATTATGATTAATTGGCTGTTTTTCAACATTCTCTTTGTGGGAATTTATGCAGAACTTGAAGGCTGTGCAAAAGAAATATCAGACAATCACTGTATCGAATGTAAAAACGGTTATTATCTTGAATTGGTTGTAGAATCTGAATCATCAATTCCAAAACTTATATGTAAGGAGTCAAAATCAATTCCAAATTGTACTGAGTTAGATGGACCTGTATGTGTGAGATGCGACGATGGTTTTTATGTTGATAAAGATGGTACTTGTAAGTCTTGTAATAAGGAAAGTACTAATGAAAGTGAAAATATTAAATGTTTACATTGTGATAGCACTCACTGTTATGAATGTGGTAAAACCACTGATGGTAAACAACTGTATCTATCTAATGATCAAACAACGTGTATTGATTGCTCACTTGCTGAGAATAATGAGGCTTGTGGAAGATGTGGTAATGGAAAATATTTTAATATAAGTTCAAAGACTTGTCAGAGCTGTTCTGATAATTGTGCATTGTGTACTGAGGAAAATAATTGTTTCCAATGCACTAACAAAACAATATTAGTCAGTGATTCCTCAAAATATTGGTGTGAGCCAATTAAACATTGCAAAAAAGACTATCTTAAGGAAGATCATTGTGAACTTTGTGAAGATGGGTATAGAATAGAAAAAGGTGATTGTGTTGCATGTGAAGATGAGAATTGTAAAACATGTTACCAAGAAAATAATTTGTCAGTATGTACAATTTGTAATGAGAATTTCACTATTCATAAAGGTAAATGTTATAATAAAACAGATATACATTGTGCTGAAGGAACACCCACATACGGTTGTTTAGAGTGTGAGTCTCATTACTTCTTTAATAAAGACCTTGATTGTATAGAATGTTCACAAAACTGTGGGACTTGTGTTCAAAATCCAAGTCATTGTTTGTCATGTGCTGATGGCTATTATTTCTCACAGGATAATAGTGAGTGTATCAAAAAAGATGGTAATTGTTCATTGGCTGATCAAGCAGGATGTAAAGAATGTTTTAATGATCTTAGTGAGGAAGGTTTAAAACAACCTGGATATTTTGTTAGAAAAAATGAACAAATATGTAGTCAATGTAATAAATATTGTAAACTTTGTGATGGTGAAGAATATAATTGCTCTGCGTGTATTAATGATTATGTTCTAGCCAAAAATACAACTTCAAATGACAATGATATGTATTATTGTGAACAAAAACCAAGCTCATGTAAACGTGCAGAAATGGGTTATTGTACTGAATGTGAAGATGGATACTTTATTTATACAAAAGACAACAGTAGTAGTCAGAGTTGTTTAAAATGTGATTCTTCTTGTGCCACATGTACTATTGATGACTCGAAAAATACAACGGCTACTAATAGTAGCTTAGATGAAGTTACTAGTAATGTCTCAAATTCAATATGTTTGTCATGTGCTGAGGGATATTATAGACATAATGAGAGTGAAAAGTTATGTAGAAGTCAAAGTGAAATTAATTCGACTTGTATAGCTGGTCCTACAGGGTGTGTCACATGTAATAATGGATATTGGATTAATTTAGATGATGAAAATGCATATAATTGTAGTTTATGTCCGTCTGAATGTAAGACTTGTCAATATAGTTCAGCTAATCAAATGCCAATTTGTACATCATGTCCTAGTGAACAAGAATATGTTAAAAGTGGTAAATGTGCTCCATGTAATGAGTTAGAACATTGTATTGCTTGTTCAGGAAATAAATGTACTACATGTGAAGATGGATATCATTTAGATTCAGATGCAATGGCTTGTTCAAAAACCAATTGGGCATTAATTATTCCATTAGTCATAGTAGGAATTATTCTCATTATTGTTATCATTATTATTATTATTGGTATTGTTTGGTGGAGAAGAAAGAAAACAGCTAAGGATGAGTCTAAAGCTATTAAGCCATATCATGTCTCATCAGATCTTGAATTAATGCTTCTTGGAGCAGATAATGAAAATTTCCCATTGAAAACAGATAAATGGGAATTAACATTTAACCTACAAAAGAGTAAAGCAATTGTTGATCAAGAGTATGAAGAAACAGTTAATTTAGCTAATATGTCAAAGAAAGAATATTATTATGAATTTCATTTTACTCCATCTCATAGATATGAATTAGAAATTAATCCAAAAAGTGCAACATTAAAACCAGGAACTGCTATTCCTGTTACATTTAAGATTAAAATATTATGTACTTGTACTATTAGTGATAATATTGGTATTTCTGCTATGGATGTTGATGATCAAAATAAAGAAACTGCCAAATTTACTATTCTTACAGAGTCTGATTTATCATTGAAATTAGACCATACTGAACTTAAACCAGTTATGCCACCAATTGGAGAAGGTGCTTTTGGTATGGTATTTAGAGGAACTTATAGAGGAAGAGAAGTTGCTATTAAAAAGATGAAAGCAAGAAATTTAACACAAGAACAAGAAAAAGAATTTAATCATGAAGTATCTATGATGACTCAATTAAGACATATTTGTGTTGTAGAATTGATTGGAGCAGTATATACCGAAGGAGAAATTGCTATTGTTACAGAATTTGCAGAATATGGGTCAATGAGTAAAGTTTGGGATAAACAAAAAATTAGTTACCAATTAAAAATAAAGTTCTTAGATGATATGGCTGTTGCATTATCTTATCTTCATCAAAACCAAATTCTTCATAGAGATGTTAAAGGTGAAAATTTATTAATTTTCTCATTAAATCCTCATTCACCAGTTTGTGCTAAATTAACTGATTTTGGTACTTGTAGAAATATTTCTGAAAGAAGTTTGAGCGTTAAAGAATTATCACAAGGTATTGGAACACCTACTTATATGCCACCAGAATGTCTTAATAATTCTACTGATTATTCATATCCAGTTGATGTATATGCTTATGGTATTGTGTTATATGAAACTTTTATTGAAAAGAATGCATATGACGGAGATGAAAGATTTAATCAACCATGGATGATTCCACAATTTGTTATTGAAGGTAATAGATTAGAAAAACCTGATGGTATTCCAGAAAACTATTGGGAATTAACAACTAAATGTTGGTCTCAAAACCCAGAAGATAGACCTTCATTTATTGATATCTTAAAAACTATTGAATCTTGGGGTGAAGATATTAAATATGCTTTTAATGTTGAAAACATCAAAAAAGGAATGGGAAATGATACTTTGTCTAATGTTAATGACTCAATGCCATCTAATAATCCTGTTTCACAAGTGGATGAAAATGAACAAAAACCAAAGAGTCAGTCAGTTTCTCATAGCTCAAGCGATGAGAATTAATTAATCAATTAATCTTTCTAAGTTAATTGAAAATTCATTTTTGAAATTTAAGTTTTATACATAAAATGATAAATTATAATTTTCATTCTTTTTTTCTTCTTATTTAAAAAAATTATATATTCTTTTTTTTGAATATATTAATAGTTGTATGTTAAATTTTATGTTTTATTCAAAGTATTTATTAATTCTTTTTAAAATAATTAGTAATGCCTGTATAACTAATGACAATCTTATTTTTAATGTTTTGTTATTAGTTTGTATTGTACTTTTACTATTTAAGTGAATTACTTCTTTTTGATGTTTTAATTGAAACAAACTGTTGATTTTATTCACATTCGTTTGATAAAATTATGGTTTTTTGCTAATAACTCATTAACTTTTATAAAAATTTTCTTATTTTTCTTTAAATTGACTTTTTTAAAAGTTATTTTTCATCTACTTAAAAGATAAATTTAACTAAGATTGAAAAATGAATTAAACATTTATTTTTTCTTCTTTTGTGAATTACTTTGTTTATTTGTTTGTCTTCTTTTTGGAGAATGTCTTGGTTTAGTATTTCTTTTTGGTTTAGTATTTCTTTTTGGTTTAGTATTTCTTTTTGGTGATGATAATTTTTTTGATTTGGTATTTTGTAGATTACTTTTTTTTGATTTAAGTCTCTTATTCTTTTCTAGTCTAAGAACTTTCTTCTTCCCTTTATTAATTATATCTTTCCCTTTTTTATACATGTCTTTTCCTTTCTGTATTTTTTCTTTAATTTTATCAATACTGAGTACTCCAGTAGAAGGGTCAACTCCCATAGCATCTCCAAGTTTGTTAGTTACTTTATCTTTAACTTTGTCAACACCTTCTTCTATTTTGTTTTGCATAAAATTTTTAGCCTTATTGCCAAGCCATTCAGACGTACCTTTTCCAATATATTTAGACGCTTTTCCTATTCCTTTATCAATTAATTTTCCTGCACCCGACATTAACTTTCCTCCAAATTTACCAGCAACCTTTCCTGCTAAATTACCTGCTTCATTTGCAATAAATTTCTTTCCTTCATCTTTTAATTTTTCCCATGCCTTTCCAGTGGCTCGTTTCATTCTTTCTTCTGGTGTTCCACCTCCACTTTGATAATTTTTAGAAAATTCTGTAACAGTTCTTGTTGCACCTGCAGCAGCACGTGCTCCAACTTCAACTCCTTTAAGGATACCTGTAGCTGTTTTTAATCCTCCAGCAATAGACACACCAATTGGTCCAAATACTGGTCCAACTGCTGCTGCCACATTAGAAAGTGGACCAACAATCTTATTGCCAACAAATCCGGCAACGTCTCCCACTTTATCAAGTACTTTTGAAATTTTTTCTCCATTTTCTGCCATAAATTTAGTTCCCTTTTCAATTACTTTTGTTGCTGTTTCTTTGATAGCATTAACAGCATCTCCTGCCATCTTCTTAGCTCCATTCCACAAGTCACCAAAAAATCCATCATCTTCTAACATAAAATCATTTACTTCAAATAGGTTCATAAATACATCAAGAGCTTCTTCATCCTTTTCTTCATCAACATAACTTGAAAGATCTACTTGATATTCTATTTCTGAAAATAATTCAAAATCATCAAAAGTATAAAGTTCCGCTGTAACACATGAAATAATGCAAGATAAATAAATTAATATTACTATCTTACCCATTAATGTATATTTATTCTAGTTCCGTGAACCAAACAATTTATATATTGTAATAAATATTTTATATCTTTTGTGATTATTTTGACGGAGTTTACGACTATTCTTTCATTGGTTTTGATACAAACCTTTTTTGGGTTATTGTCTTATGTTATTTAAATATTTCTTTTTTTGGCTTCTTTTCTCTTCTTCTTTTATCTTCTTGTTTGATATAGTCTGAATTATTCTCCATCCCATGAGACAAAAAGATTTTATCTTTTCATTTTCTTTGAATCACACAATAACTTTTCGTTACGTTTATTTAATAATTTCAAGATGAGATCAGTGATGAATCTTCTCCATTCATTTCTTTTGCAATATTTTTAATATCTAAAAAAGGTTTGTTACAAAACAAGACATTCCAAATTTTATTTTTACCTAAATAATCAATTTTATGGTTTTAACATAGACTAAAAAATCTTGTTTTAATTCAAAACAACAACAATAAGACTATTGTAGTTCAACATAAATTATAAATGAAAGAGCAAATGATGAATCTGCAAACAGATAAGACAATAATTAGAATTAATGAAATAGTCTGAGTAGTCAGGATTATAAAAAGAATGAAAATGATTGATATATTGAAAACAATATGAAAAGGAATAATGAGATAAAATAACAAAATATAAAGTAGTAGCTAAATACATACTTATAAAAATATTAAGACGAATATTAATTTATGCAAAAATAAAACGAAAATAAATTTAATAAAAAAAAAGGATAATTCATATTCAATCAATAAATAATTATTCTTTTTTTATTTTTATATTATATAAAAAAGAATATAATTAATAAATATTATTTACTTTTAATACATCGTAAATTATTTTTGAGGTGAGATACATATTTGATCAAATTCTCTTAAGTAATATTCATTCCATATTCTATATTCAAAGACTTCAAATTTTGTTTCAATTTCATTATATTTCTTTAATGTGGCATTTGGATTTATATAAACAGTTTTGTTTTGTATTATGTGTTGGAAAAATGACATTCTTGTTGTACAAACATCATATTTTCTTCTTTCTTTTTCACAGTTATAAAGAAATGTTCCTGTTGTTGGACAAACACTTTCTACAGCAAGGTCCTTTATTAATAATGGTGTAAACTCAAATGCGTTTGGATATTTCTTAATTAACATTACAACAATTTCTAAGAATTGAATAAAGATAGGGGAATTTTCTTTTGTTTGATTTCTTAAACGAGACTGGAACTTATGTCCTAACATAATCCATTCATATTCAATCAAACCTAAAAACCCTTCTATAGTTCGATGATAAGGATCTAAACAAATTCTTGATAAAGATGAAATTTGTGGCGTTCTATCCCATCCATCACTACAATGAACTAATACTCTATTTCCATTTTTTAATAAGTCACATGTTTTACAAATACTTTCATTAATTATTTGTAAAATGTCAATCCATTCTCCAACACTAGTATAAAATTGTGACACTTCTTTTTTACTTCTATTTATTATACCATTTATCATTTTTTGGTATGCAGAAAATACAACATGTATATTAGGTAAATTTAAATGGTCAATAATACAATTTTTATAAGACCCACTACTTTCAGTGCCTCCTCCACTTAACCTATTTGCAACTGCATTTGCCATAGCTCTACAATCTAATACTATTAATACTGATTTATCATCTCTTCCATCACATCGAATATGAGTAATATAATTTTGGTCGTCAATACTTTCTGATTTCTTAAATACTCCAAACGCAAATGTAGTTGCGACTAATGGCTGTGATGACCTAAATAATGCTGCACCAGTCTTCTTATTATAATATGTTACTAATGGGATTCTTCCTTTTGACCTAAAACATGCTATATTTACCATCATTCTTTCATTCATTTCAATAGGTACAACAAGAACTGATGGATAAGTTGGACATACTTTAAAATGTGCATTAACATCACTGATCATGTACATCTCTTCCATTCCTTGTCGTGACAATTCAACTATTGGATTATATATTCCATCAACTCGTTCATGGCTATTTCTAATATTTTCCCCATTTACTGATAATTTATGTAGTGGTGATTCACCTCCATCTTCAAACCGTATTGAACGTAATGAACTCATAAATGATAATACTAATGGTTGTGAAGTGAATGTTAATTCAATAGTTGACGGTAAGTCAGGATGATAAAATGGGTTCATGCTTAATACAATACTTGTCCCATTAAGTGTCATAGATTCAATTAATTGGGTTTTGATTAAATACATATAATCCATTTTAATTCCTTGATTATTCATAAAATGTGGCATTTGAAGAAACTGAGGAATAAACATAAATCGTTCTGATGTTAAATAAACCATTCCTTCTGTTGTTGTATTACTTATTTTTGCTTGTGAATGAAATACATGATATTCATTGGGTATGGTTTGTATTTCAAAAACATGATTGTTATCATAAAATTCACTCGACACAGTCAATTCTTTTCCACTTCTATTTAAGTCATATCTATAATGTTGTTTAGTTTTGTTAATTAAAGACTCATATTCAGTGTTAATATAATACTTTGTGTTTTCTGGAATCTCATATAAATTACGTATTTCTAATGGTTTGTCATCATAACTATATATTGTAACACTTCTTTTTCTAAAAACATCAATAGATGCCCATGTTAGTTTTGGTCGTATCATGTCTAATCTAGCGGCAGTAAATTGTTGGGCTAATGCATCTTTAGGAACAAATACGAACATACTTTTTTTAATTTCTTTTATTTTTAGTTTTATCTTTTTTTTTAAGTTCCTTTTTTCAATCACTAAGCACAACCTATTTTATTTCACTTTCCTTTCATTTTATTAATCTCAGTGAAAATAAATAATCACAAAGTCATCACTAATTAGTATTTAATCTATCTATTTTCTAACTTATTTACTCTAATGTCATCTCTTGATAATGTTTTTCATCAATACATATCTCAGTCAGGTCAAACAGAAATTAACTATCCTTATGAATTACTTTTGGCTATCCAGATGCATTTTAATAAAAAAATGCCACTCCAATTCATAGAAGAAGCATTAAGTAGAAACAAAAATGATTTGTACTTATCATTAAAAGATATCAATGAATCTTTAGAATCATTTCCTCCACTAAATCCTACAGAAGAATAAGTTAATTTTTTGTAAAATTTATTTTGAATTTTGAAAAATAAAAAAAACCAAAGAAAAAACTTAAAAACAGGTAATATGAAAACACTTCATCATTTGATTACTGATGATATTGATGACAATGATTACTTAAGAATTATATTTGACATTTCACATTCCTTTCAACGTGAAGAACTTGTAATTGTTCCACGAACAAAAGGTGGATTTTCATATGGGTATGTTGATTCAATGAAACAAGAAAACCGATGTCCATTCAATTATAGTTATGAACACAACTCAGTATTTTGGACAATTAAGTTTTATCACACTGATACAAAAACATCTCGTAAAACATTACCTGCATCAAAAATAGGTAAATTATCAAGTGTTCCAAGAAAACCAAATGGTGATGAGGGAGAGCTTAGCCCAGAAGAATATAGACATGTAGTATATGATGAAGAAGCTGTTCTTCAATCAACAACTGTTGTTTGTCCAAGTATTAATGGTGGATTAATCTATTGTATTGGTGTTTTACCTAAACCAATTAAATGTAAATGTGGAGATCATATGGTTGATGGATTAATTGTTGAGAATGGAATCCAAGAAATGGCATTTCCCTTAAGTGCTGTTGGGGTTATACTTACTGACGATTTAAGAAAACGAATTATTATTGATGGTGCTAATGTTGCTTATTATAAAAGCCAAGGAAATACATTTGAAATTACTCTTCTTCTTAATGCCATTGATTATTATGAGAAGAAAAATTATGAGGTGACAACCATTCTTGATTCAAGAGTCTTACAAACTCTTAAGAAACAAAACACAACTCCTCCAAATAAAAGCTTAAATAAACTAATTAAAAAAAAAATAGTTACATCAACAAATATTTCTACAAGTAATTATAGCATTGAATATGCCATGTCAAAACATGCTGTTATTTTATTAAATGAAAACCCTCACGATAAAGTATCTTCTACAAACCAAAAAGCAGAAATTGATGAATGGTTAAAAATTCATCAAATTTCATTTGTGTTTGATAATGATTTATTTATTCCAAATCCTGATTTTAAATATCCATTTAACTGAATCTTTCTATTTTTTTTTATTCTTTTAAAAACTAAAAATATTAATAACAAAAAAAAAGAAAACTAATAAATTAGAAAGAAACAATGGGTTTATTCTCTGTTATAACAAGGTACAATTTAGTTGCTCTTCTTTGTGCTTGTTTTTCAATAATTGCATTTGTCCTTAATACACTTTCTTTCTTCTTACCATGGGTTGAAAATAAAGATTATCTCAAAGAAGAAGCAATGTGTAATTCAATTTTTCCACCACTTAATGGTATTTCATTACAACATTCATGTGTTTTAACACATGTTTGGGACGATACAGTTTTTCAAGTTGCTAGTTTGATATTTTAAATAAATATTTTAAATAAATATTCACAACAATTAGATTATATAACAAGTATTTTATTATTTATTACATTAATTATTACTATCATTTCAATTCTATTTGATTGTTCTCAAATGAATAAACGTAAATGTATTTGTTTTGTTCTTCCACAAAATTTAAAATATTTAAGTATTTTATCATTCTTTATTAATTTTGTTTCATTAAATATCTTTATGTTCATATTCTTTAAAGATACACAAAAATTAACTGAAGCAACAAGTGGATCATTGGTTGAAGTTTCATGGGGATTTTGGTGTAGTTTCTTTTCTTCATTAATTCTTCTTCTTGCAGGATTTATTAATGTTTCTTTCTCTTCCCCTCCTATCCAAAAACGAGTTTTTATTTCTTAATTAACCAAAATAACTTATTTAAAAAAAAAGAGATAACGTGAATTTAATTAATAATTTCTTTACACTTTTGTTTTTGTTGTTCATTTAATGTAATAAATGGTGGAATATCAAATGTAACAGGTCTTAATTTTTCTGGTCTACATTCTTTTGGAAAATCAAGTAAAACTTCAACAACATCTAATGATAATATATCTGCATTACACCCTAATAATTCTATAATATTTGGTGTTGTTCTACCTAAGTCTCCATGTACAAATTCTTTAATATAAGTACCTGCTTGTGTTTCTAATTCTAATAATCCAAAATGTCCATCAATTGGATGTAATTCTAATGAATATATCATTCTTTCTCTTGTTAATAATGATCTTCTATGTAATACTCTAATAGGTGTTTTTTGTTGAATTAATAAATCTTTTATTTTTAATTCTTTCATTGATTCTGCCCATATTAATGCTAAATATCTTTTTCTTTTTTCTCTTTCTCCTTTTTTAATTATATCAACATCTTTAGCTTCTATTGGTTGAAGATGCATTACTTGAATTGCTGGTGATTTATTAATTTCTTCTTGTATTTGAGCATATAACTCTATTGGTAATGTAACTTTTCTTGGATTATGTAATTCAAAAACAAATGGTCTTCCATTTCCTAACATTCTAACATCAACATCTTCTCTTCCAGATGCAATCATAAAATATTCATCACATTCAAAATATTTCTTTAATACCTCTCCTATTTCTTTTGTAATTGAATGTTCATGCATTTCTTTTCCTTGAATAATCCATTGTGATTGACTTAATTGTCTTGAATATTTTCTATATCTTCCACCAACATAAATATAATCTCTTTCAAATATAAACTTATATGTTCCTGGATCTTCTTCATTTCTAGTAGGTGGAATAGTAAATGATTCTTCAAATATTTTTAAAGGGATATTTTCAATAATATTCATTGCTATTGTTGATGTTAATGTTTCCATTCTTTTTCTCTTTTTTCCAACTGATATTTCAATAAGTTTATCACCATCTTCTCTTAATTGTTGATGGGTAAATTCAATTGTTAATTTTAATGGTGATTCCAATTCACATTTCCAGTCTTTAATTTTAGTCATTAAAATAAATCTTAATGTATCTTTTAACCTAAAAGGAGAATAATTCTTTGATGGAAATGTTCTTGTTATATATCTACATAATGCCATTTCTCTAACAAAAATAGCTTGTGGAAATGATGTATTAATATAAAATGTTCCTTCATAAATATGTCCTGATTCTTTTAATGCTTCATGTATTCGTTCAACTATTTCATCACTTTGAAAATAAATAGACATATTAAAACAAATAACACAATTAGTCTTTGGATGAACAACCTCTCTTTTTTCTGCCTGAAACAAATTATTTATAATATCTTCCATACTTTGTGAGTAATATCGTTCTCCTATTCTAAATGAAAACCTTGCAACACAATAAATACATAACTTCCCTTGACAATATAAATCAAGTAATTGTCCAAGCAACGACATTAATTAATTTTTATTTATCTCACTTCTTTTTCTTTAAAAAATATAAAAAAAGGGTTTTTGTTTATAAAAGAAAAAAGAAAGAAAATAAATGATTCATTGTTGATTATTTCTTTATCAATTCATTATATTTGAAATTATCACCTCTAATAATCCTTTTTGTGCTACTCTTTGAGACTTAATGAATTGAGGTGATTCAAGAGATGCACGTTCTCCATTAATCGTTTTACATAACAACCAATCAACAAATGAACGATCTCTTGGGAAATACTTCTCTGGTGGAAAATGTGGAAGAAAACCTTGAACAGCAGATTTACAACAAACACAAACTCGATATAAAGGAACACCTTTTATAACTACAGGAGAAACAATAATAAAGACATGATTAAATTGAGTAATAAATGAATTTAAGTCAATTTCATCATCTTTTTTATTATTAGTTTCTTTAAAGATAATTACACAAACATCATTACCAATATGACGTTTTTTAGCTAAATGTTGTTCATCATTTGCTTCATGTTGTAACATTGTAGACACATGAAACATAATATCAATTCCTTTGAAAGAAGAAACAATTGAATGTGTTCCTGTTGTATTATTCTGAACATCCAATCCACCTCTATATCCATTATAACCTTTAAGAACAATTGTTTTACCTATTAAATTAAAGAATTCTTGACAAAGAGGAGAGGTAGTAGTATTAGATAAAAATTGTTGTTCAAATTTCTGACCTTGAGTAGCAACAACTAATCCAAATTTATAAGCAGGACGTCTATTTCTTGATTCATATTCAATTAGTTTTGACCAAATCTCTTTTCCACACTCTTTCATTTTAACTTGTTCTTTTTTTAATCCATATACATTCATTATCTCACTGTCTATATCTCGTATATCTTTAACATATGTTTTCACTGTTCCAAACTGAGAAATAACAACTGCTTTTTTTAAACCACCAACCTCATCTCCTACAACAATAAGTATTGGACCAATTGAAGTTTTTACTGTATTATAAAATGCTCGTTTATTAACACTTGGAATAATTCCTTCTTCAATGGGTTTTTCAAAATAATTCTCATTAAAGATTGGAACATCTTCATTGAGTAAAGATCCAATATCATCTTTACTTAATTCAAAATGATATCCTCCTTTGCATTTCGAATCAATAATTCCTTTTGGATTACATTCATCAGTAAATGATTCAAATGGTTGAATGTTTTGTTTACACCAATCATCTCCATCATCTTCAATTTCACATTCTATTGGTAATATTTTATCAATCATTTGGTATTTTGTAATATAGAAAGAACAACATAATGTTCCATTTCCTCCTTTAATTGGTACTTCTTTAGTTACCAATTGATTATCAGGAATATCAAATAAATTAACAGTAACTGAACCTAATGTAGTATTAGTTCTAACCATTTTCCAATCTTTAATTTGAATATTAATATTATTAGCGTTTTTAAATGAAAATGAAAACGTACTATTCCAGAAAGGATCTCCTTTCTTTTTCCAAACTGTAGTTTCAAGAATTTGTTTTCCAACTGAAACTTGTGCATAAACTGGTATTTTTTCTTTTTCATTAATGAACCCTTTAGTTTTTTGGATATTAACATCAAGTCGGTTTTGATATCTACAAACATATAATGGAGTATCCATTTCTTCAATGGTTAAAATAACATTTCCTAATAACATTTTTTTTTGTGTTTGTACAAATGAAGTAGATGGAATTGCATATGTACAAAACATTAAATCACCAGCAGACTTCATACTATCCATTAATGGAACTCTCCATACAACTTTTTTATTTATTGGTATTCTTTCTACCATAATTTTAAATTTACCAAGAAAATCATCAGAACTAAACTTAAAAGCATTGTCCCAATCAAAACAATTAAATGTTAAAATACTTTCTGAAGCTACATTTTTTAATACAAATGAATTATTCCATGTTGGTGAAAGTGATTCTTTAATTGTTTCAGTTTTTTTTCTTTTCTTTATTAATTCTCCTTCTTTTAATGATGTATAAGTTAAAATAATATAAGGATCAGATAGTCCAGTTGGGTCTGCTTTTGGTAAATTTCTAGCTGAAAAGATATTGATAGCTATTGTTACAAGAGAGTCTTGCATTGATTTTATTTTTCTAAAATTGATTTTTTTGTTTTTTTATTTATCATTTTAGTGTTATTTCAATTCCAGAAAAAAAGTATAATTGACGTATTTTTTATTGAAGAGGAATTTTCTTGATTTAAGTATTACTATAATTTGTTTAAATTTAATCAAATTTGTTTTTGAATGAAGAATTAATTTATCAACTCTTTCTCAATTCTAATCGAAAGATTCATTCATTTATTTTTTGTTATTTATTTTACTTGTTGTTATTTATACATCGAAGGTAGCATGTCTGAAACACTACACACAAACAGTAATATAATTAAAACTTCAATTTTAATGGTAATTATCTGGTTATGACGGTGTATTTGAATTAGAAATGTATTAGGTAAAGTTGCAAAGGGTGGAGCAAGATATTATGGTAGAATATTACATGGTGTAATATAAGAATCTACTAAAGTGTGGGTATGACTAAAAGAAAATTAAACATAATAATATAATGGGAATGAAATGATTCCTTCTCCAATTCATAAAACAAGAAAAAATGAAAAAGAAAATGTTTAAAATTAAGACAGAAAATAAACAAAAGGTTAAAAAGAAGAAATAAGCAGAAGAAGGATGAGAAGACATTAAAAGGAAAAATAAAACAAAGAAGT